AAGAGTGATGGGCTCCAGGGCTGTGTGTCCATGTCCAGTCCAGCTCTAACATGAAACTGAGCCTGGCAGTGAGTTTTAGGGCTGCAAAAAATATAGCAATTGGCAAATTCTGTAAGAAGAGAGACTAGGTCCCAAGCAGATCAGAGCAATATTTTTGCTGTTAAAAGAGCTGTGAAGAATTTTCTTACAGGACTGAATTTGACTGGGAAGATGTACTTGCCACTCTCCAGCAGACAGCAGCTGAGGTGTGAGATCATGCAGCCACTGCAGGAGGTCAACCAAATTCTTGCTCCTCAGCTGTTGTTTCTGGCAAACAGGTTCTATGAATAATTGTAGGGGAGTTTTTTTGAAGGGGTTGAAGGTGATGTTTAAGCTACCAGGAATTTACATTGCTCTGTGAGCAAGACCTCAGCCTCAAGTGAAGTAATGACCACATTCAAAACCATGACCATGTTTGCGTAGATAAACCCGGAGTTATGACTTCATCTCACCCAGGGACATCAGAGGTCTCTGTGTACTGTGTGTCTGTGCTTTCTCAGTTTAAGAGTTATATGACTTCTGAAGGGGAGTTGTAATAACCAGGGACCTATTTCAGACCTTGAACAGAGCTGGAAACTGCTTACAGAAGGAATGAAATCTCAAATATTCCTGTGAACAGCTGGACCTCCCTCTCCTTTCCTTACAGGGGAGACAACTTTTAATTATAAACAGCAAAATTTTATGGTTCTTTGACAGATAACCAATTCCATAAAGTCATTGGTTTTAATCATAAAGAGAAAGCATTCCTTAAAAACAAACTTTAAATGGCTGTTCAGGACAAACTGTGTTTATATGGGACAGTTAGCACTATAATGATGCATCACCAGCAACTGCAGTATAACTAACTAAAGGAACATACTGGCACATAATTAACAACTTTCTTCCAATGAACCGTGAGCAACACCTTATTTTGGAATCTTAGTATTTTAGGAATTAAGGGCAGGGTGCAGAGCAGCAGAACTCAGATAAATGATAACCATAGCTGGGAAAAGGCACAGTAAACAGAGCTGTGAGCAAACACTGTAGACTGAAGTAGGAAGAGCAAAGCACTCCTGCACACACACCACTTTGCAAACAGGTGCTGGTTCATGCCACAATAGATAATAGTTCATCCAGAAGCTATTTTGGTGAAAAGCTACTTCCAAGTTCTTACATATTAATACTGAATCCTCAGTAGTAAACATATTTCCATTTAGATAGCTGGGATGTTTCCTAGGTGTGGTCAGAGAGGGGATTGTTGGGATTTTTTACCTTCTGCTTGGAGTTCCAAAATTGTATTTTGGTTAGTGTGCTACTTACAGCTCAGAACTGTGATTCCTTAATGTTTTTGTCAGGGGGGAAAAGTGTACAGGAAACTTACCAGTCACATGCTGACAGATACACGGTATGACATGGGACTGCAGTGTGCATTTGAAAACATTAAAACTCTCACACACACTAATCTAATATATAACATCACTTTAAAGGGATCTTTGAAAAGAAGTGTGCAGTATTTCAAGCTCACATTCTTACCAGTGCAGCATTTAATCTTCTAACTATGTATGTATTTATTACACTTTCCTTCTTTGGAGGGTTGATTTTACATATTAAAGAAGCTTCTACCAATCCTTGAGAGTTTTGCAGTAAATCTCACTTGTGTGGGGAGGGCAGAAGAGCTGAGCAGTTTCTGAGGTGGCTGAGACCTCTAGTGCCCAGTCCTTTCATTGCATGGCTGATGATTTTCACCAGTTCTGCACTCAAAGAAAAATAAAAAATTGCTCGTATTCCTAATGAAGTGGTAACTACTGAATTGATTGGATAATTCATCCCTTTCAGTTTCTGCCTGTTCATGTTCCTACTGAGGAAGAGAAGAGTGATCCAATTCTTTTTGCCAACAGAGTCCGACAAATCATGGCAAAGTAAGTAACTGATCATCAGTAAAACCTCTGAGAACTGTTCTTTTATTTTTATTAGCAATTCCACATGCAGCCTAACCATAAAGTACAATTTAGTCATGTCCTGGGTACTATACATAGGAATTACTCTAGATTTTCACTGAGAGGTGTCAAAATCCTATACTAGATTACCCTGATTGCTTTCACATTGGAACATAGTATGTTCAATTAGTAGAAAACTTGAATAAAATAATCTCTCCTTGCTTGGCAAGGAGAATGGGTGGTGGTTTGTTCTCCAGCATTACTGGGCTGCATTTTCAAGACTGTAAATTTTAAAACCTCATGGTGCTGCGATAACCTGGTTTCATGGTGGGGTTTCACAGTCTCATGAAATGGTGTATATTGCTTTGTCCAATTGCAGCAGTGCAAGAATGAATTACCATTTGTTTCGCATATCAGAGAAGGGAAACCGTCTACAAAAAGTTATTTTCTTATATAAGAAATTTATTTTGCTTTTCCTTAATTTTATTTCAGTGCTTTGAATGTGCCAATCACTGATCACACTTTTGAAGATTGCAGGCTGATGATTTCAGCAGGGCAGTTGACTTTACCCATGGAAGCTGGGCTGGTGGAGTTCACCAAAATTAGCAAGAAACTCAAGTAAGGGAAGTTTTATTGCTTGGTAGCATAATTACTAAAGTGCTGCAGATATTGATGGCCATCTGCCAAAGGTTGAATAACCAGACTAGAGACTTGGCCATGTGTAACATAGTGTATTTAAGCATACAATTTACATAAATTACAGGGAAATCAGAGATGAGGAAAATCCCAGTAAGGACTAATCCCAAGTAATTTTTGTCACCAGCATTGCCAGAGAAAAGATTGTTCTCACCAAAGGGTGAGGAAAGTAGGGCAGTACCTGTTTTAAACACTCCATGGTAATCTTGGTGAAAATTTAAATTGCAGCAGGTACTGGCAGCTTGTGGCAGGAAGTAAAATACCTTTATTCCAGCCTGAAACTTCACCTTACTGTTCTTGGTTTTACTGTGCAGCCATGTGTCACTAGTGATGTCAGTTTTTTCTGTCTAGATACAGTGGAGTTTGAGGACTGAGCCATATAACCATACTCCATCAAATAACCTGGCATGGCTGTGGTGAAATCTGAATGTGTCCAATAAATCTTGACTTACTGTTGGGTGCTATATATCCATTTTTAGAATTCCATCTGGAATAGTTACATGGCAATCCTAATTATTCTTACTGAGGTGCAGTGGTGTATTTTGCAGAGATCTGGCAGTTCTGAGGCTCTGGCAATACTGGTGTTTGGGTAGAGATCTTGCTAATAGAGCTGAGACCTGCTCCCTCTGTAAGGAAATACTTACCCTAGAGCATGATGCAGCAAAATACTGCTACACCTGCATTTATGGTAATGAAAAGCTCTCTGCTGGAGCAGTCTAGTAATTGGACAGACAATTCTAGGTTTGGGAAGTTATTCTGTGTAAGTCTGGCATAGCAAAGCATAGAGCTGCCTGCTTTTAATATTAATAACCAGAGGGGAGCAGTCCTTAATTACTGATTTAAAGTAAAATATCTGGTCTGAAGTACAGCATTAGAAATGCTGTACACACATGCCCTGTTTGGCAGTTTTTCATCTTTGAACACTGTAATAACTCCTACTAAAATTCCATCTGTCCGAGAACTGCTGTATAGAAATATCTCCTCTCCCTCATGTTTGCATAGCCTAAAATGGAATCATGTCAGAGAGCAGTTGGATACTTTTGCTGCTATTGCAAGTGCTTCCAAAGGGGGAAGAATTGGAATTGAGGAGTTTGCTGAGTACTTGAAGCTACCTATTTCAGATGTCCTCAAAGAGCTGTTTCTACTTTTTGACAGGGTGAGTAATTGGTTAACTGACTTTTTGACCATATTTTGTTAGAAATCACATACCGAAAGGATATTTATTATAATTCATTATGTCCAGCATAGTAAATGCTTCTTGGTTAACAGTTTCTGTAAGCAAGGTAGGTGACTCTTACAGTTTTTTTCATAAGTTTCATTAGTTTCTGCCTTGTGAGATGGCAGCCATCCCTTGGACCAAGTTGCTGCACCAGTATCAGACAATAATCTTTATGCTGGTAGTAGCTGAATATTTTCTTTGGCCAGCTGCAGATTTTGATCTTAAGTACATTTTGTTAGCTGTTGTAATTAATTAGAAAATTTAAGGCAGAGTGAAGCTAACTGGAGTGTTAACTGGAGCACTGGAGTGTTCCTGCTGTGCTTGTGAAGGGTGCTGTTAGATTTTACAGGAACTCCTCTTGCTTTTCTCCACCAGTAAAGGGGGTTGTGTGTTAACATGATCATTTAGGCTTTACCCCTGGTCAGTGCTAATCTCTCCAATTTTCTGCTTCTCTCTGAGGATGACAAAAATGGCTGCATTTCTCTCTATAGCAGAAGCATCAATGACTAGGGCACAGACAGAATTAATCTTACTTCTAGGCCTCCACATGTGCTGCAGTGCACCAGCCAGTTGTCCTGCAAGTGCCTGTGGACTGGAGGTTTTCTCTTAGCATAAGAGCTTTCCCAGCTCACCATCACTCTTCCTGATCAGTTAGCCTTACCACTACACCTGTCCTTGGGAGGCCATGGTACATGCTCATTAAAACTGTTTCAGGATTTTTCCACATAAAAAGTTTTTACAAGCTGTAAAATAGGGAAGAGTCAAACATGTTTCCTGAACTTGCTGAATGACTTGAAGGCTAGCAGAGATGGATACATCATGCTTTTGTCATTCTTGCCTCCCCATCTTGGACCATTGGCTCCTGAGGCATGTAGTCTGAGTCCTGAAACACAGTACCTACATCAGAAATGTGCAGTGGCAACCAGAGTAATTAAGGGCAATCATACTCCTTTCACTTTCTTTATATGGTGCAACATCAATGACCAGAACTAACAAAGTAATGCTAAATTCTCTAAAATTTTGAGGGAATAAAAGATTATGACAACAAAGAAGTGCAAGGCTGCATTCACCTTTAAGGAGATCAGCACAACTGAGGAACAATCATGCTCATCTAACAGGGCTGGTTTCAAATTGCTTCAGGTATGAGCACAAGCATTCTGAGACTTCTGCTTTGTGGGTTTCAACCTCATTATTTTTTTCTCTAAAATGATTTCTCAAATCACATAAACATAACAATGCGAAGAAGAAAATAAATAGGGGCGTATCAACACCTGACAGAAACTAGTGAGATGTAACTGGGAGCCAGAAACATGCCCAGACATGGTGAAGTCTAAGCATGCAGATAAGCTCTGTTTTGCCCACACCCACGTCAGACACAAGACAGCTTCAGAGAGCTACAGAACACTGGATCTCTGCGTAACTCACTGCAGAAAATCTTCACAATGTTCCTTGCTAAAGCATTGCTGAGTGGAGGAAGTGGAGGAAGTGGTAGTGGTCGTGGAGGAAGCCTTGCACGTGGCCTTGGAGGGCTCCTGACAGGAGGTGGAGGTGCAGGGAATATTGCAGGGCTTGTTGGAGGTCTTGTCAACCTTATAAGTGAAGCGGCAGCTCAGTATAATCCAGAGCCACCTCCACCTCCTCGCAATCATTTTACAAATGTGGAAGCTCAGGAGAGTGACGAGATCAGACAGTTTCGCCGCCTGTTTGCCCAGCTGGCTGGAGATGATATGGAAGTGTGTGCCACCGAGCTAAGGGACATCCTGAACAAAGTCCTTTCCAGACACCAAGACCTGAAGGCGGATGGCTTCAGCTTGGACACCTGCCGTAGCATGGTCGCCGTCATGGACAGCGACACAAGCGGCAAGCTGGGCTTTGAGGAGTTCAAGTACCTGTGGAACAACATCAAGAAGTGGCAGTGCGTGTACAAGCAGTTCGATGCTGGTCAGTCAGGCGCTGTCGGGAGAGCCCAGCTGCCCAGCGCCTTGCAGGCTGCGGGGTTCCAGCTGAACGAGCAGCTGTGCCGGGTGGTCGTGCGCAGGTACGCCGCCGAGGACGGCAGCATGGATTTCAACAGCTTCATCAGCTGCCTGGTGCGGCTGGACAGCATGTTCCGGGCCTTCAAGTCCCTGGACCAAGATGGAAGTGGGCACGTCAGAGTGACCATTGAAGACTGGCTGCAGCTGACCATGTATTCGTGAAGGCGTGGCAGAGTGGCTTTGTGTGGAAGATACACCTGGAGGACCACGCTCCTCTGCTCCAGAGCTGTGATCTTTGCCTTTAGTCTTTCTAAGGAAGATGTAGATAGCGGTAGATGGCTCAGCTTCAAGTGTAGTGATTCTTCTTGTGCATGCATTAGTCTGCTTTTCTGAGGGGTTTGTGTAGGTTGTTGATCGGGCAGTTGCATAAGTTCAGAAAATCCTAGATTTTAAGGTTAGGAAATATATTGGAAAGATCAAAGCTTGTTACTTTTTTGTGTAAAGTGGCTTGTATATGAGTATAACTATTATATAAAAAAGCTGCCAAGTTTGGTGTTGATGTTGCTGTTCTGATTTGTCAGCAGTCACTAAGCCGGAATAAAGGCTGTTTGCCTGAAGGCAGTCACTGGTAGACTCTTGTGCAGTTATTTCTAACAGGGGGAACATTAGAGTTGCAGTAACTGTAGTGATCAGTGAACTTACATAATCATTCAATTTCCTTTCTACTGCTGCTTTTTCATGCTTGGCTGCTGAAGTAAAACCTCAGTTTTACTGTCAGTTCTAACTGGTGGCCAGGACAAAATTGAAGACTTATATGAGGCTACTTCTGCAATGATCTCCTTCCTACAGTTCCACGAACTAGTCTTTTCTCTCTTTCCTTCAAGCCTAAACATAGTTATGAAGCAAACAACTTAAAATACTACATTTATATTTAGAGAAACTTGAAATCATTATGCAGTCACATAGCAGACAGAGAGCCAAAGTCAACCACTGGCTATCTGAGTGAAATTTCATCAGGGTGCAGCATCCCACTCAAGGTAGTTATGCAGTTCTGGCTAAGATGTCAACTTCTGAGTAAAAAAAATAAAAGGAATAACGTGAACTGTCAAAAGTGCCTTTCTTTGAATTAAGGATTACATTGTTGATCAAAACAGCTCTTGCACAAGGCAGATTTCTTGGCAAGGCTCTGCTGCTTTAAACAAAAATTGTCTTGGGTGTGTGGGAGCTGGCTGGAATGTGAAAAGAGGAGTTAAATCGGCAGCCTGGCACTAGAGGCAGTCTCCAGATGTGAGAGTCCTGGTGCCCCTGCCCTTCCCCAGGGACACAGCAGTGACTCATAGAGAAATACCACACAATACCTGCAGGCCATCTCCACTTTAATGGGGTGCTGTGGTGTGGTTTGGTTTGGTCTGTAACTTTCCGTAGCTTCGATTCTGAATCTTGCGCTTACACTTGACAAATAGTATTTTTCAAATTGATGAGCTATCTTCCCTGGTATACTTGCAGAAACCTTTTACTTGAAACTAACTTATAATTTGTGCCCAGATTTTTTTCCTCCTGCACTTTGTTTAATAGCAAACAGAAAAATATTCATACTATCCCAGAGAAAAGAGGCCAGTTCCTTCCTCATGGCATTCAGCCTCCTCCCATTTCTTCAGTGGGAAAGCACTCAGTTGTCCCTTGTGCCACGTAATGCCATTTGGGCTCTGAGTAATAGAAAAGTGAACAGGAGGGAAAGTGTGACATCCTCCTCAAAAGTATTGATGCAGTGGTACTTTATACTGCATCTGGCTTGCAGTCCCTGTGCAAATCTAAATCTACTATGATAGTGCAACTTTTTTGTTTTCCAAAATCTTAAGATTTACTGTATCATATAAAAAAACCAACAACAAAACCCCAGTTACCACAGCATGCTATAGGGAAAATAGTAGCAGAAACCTGGCTTCCTTAAAGAAAACAAGAGTTGTTAAGGTTACATTATGTTTTGATTGTTTTGTGTAGCATAACTGCAAATACCCAAATCCTGATTTACCATTTAGAGAACCAGAGCTTAGCTCACACGTTGCTTCCTTAAAATATTTTTGGTTACATAGCTGCAAACACAGTTAGGTATGCATAGAAACACAATTGCAAGTGCTATTTGCTGTGGTGTTACACTAGCACTTCAAATTTTCCCATATTTTCAGTTTAACTTCCATTTCTTTTCCCAGGCAGCCGGTTGCTTCCTTAAAATATTCTTGGGTACATAGCTGCAAACACAGGTATGCATAGAAAGACAATTGCAAGTGCTTTTTGCTGTGGTGTTACACAAGCACTTCAAATTTTCCTATATTTTCAGTTTAACTTCCATTTCTTTTCCCAGGCAGCAACTCCATCATTTCTCCTTAACCAGAATGCCAGAGCATTTGGAAGTTAGCCAGCATCCTAGAGTTTAGTAGAACTAGTCACGGCATGATCTTGCAAGCACAGTAACTTTATTTTCTACTAAAATGGCTGGAGTTCTGTCTATCAAACTGCACTCAGTTTTGACTACTGAGTTTTCACACTTTAATGAAAGTAATATGAGCTTTAATTTGTCTTTTTTCTTGTCATATTTCCATGTGCCACAACTGTGTTAACTTCTTTCAGAAGTTGTTTTTAATTAAATTATTTTAAAGTTTACTTCCCAATTCTTTTACTGTGATAAATATTCTTAACTTTGAAAATAAATTTTCAAAATATTCTAATCACTTCAAACAGTCCTTTGCTAAGAATACAGTCTGCAAAACTATCCAAAAATAATATTCTCTGGAACTTTGAACAGTTATTATCTGCACTCTTGCTTCATTTTTAAATGTTTAAAGCGTAACATTTATGTTTGTAATGTTACGCTTTAAAGTTAGATCTGAGAACTACAATGTGAAGAAAATACTGAAAGTCAAACTCTGCATCACAATGAGAACACAGATTTGCAAATAAAACAATGTGTACGAGACAACTTTGTCCTTTTCTAATGATTAAAAACTGACAAAAGTTATAACCCTTAGACATCCATGAAAGTAACTTAAAAGTTCATATCTTATTCATATCTTTGCTCAAAAGTTTACCTGAAATACACAGGTTTCTGAAGTACAAGATGTTCAAAGTCAATCAAAAGATCAATCAAAAGGATCAGTTAGACCATCAATATAAATAATACAGCAGTTGTCTATGCAAAAGAGTCTTGCATTGGTTTTGAAGGCTAAATAAAATTATATCTTAGAAGATTTAAATCCTGTGAAATGTATAGCTTGATGATGACAGGTTAATAATACTGATTTCATTATATTACACATAACACATATTTTGTTAATCAAGAACTGTCTCAAAATCTAAATTCAATTGCTAAAATCCCTGTTTCATAGCACCCAAAATTTTCAAAGCACCCTACAGAGCAGCCTCAGTATTCTCCCCTGACATATTGCACTGTTCAGCAGCAGAAAACCAAGAGCAGAAAGGTTTAGGCTGGTATGCTCAAGGGGACATTATAAGTTGGTAGGAGAGCCAGAAATAGAATCCTGGTCTGGTCCTTTGCTGCAGATTTACCCAGCTGACCACCCCTCTCTCACTTGGCTGAAACAGTTTTGTGTTGCTCTCATATGTAGGGACTCCACATTTTAAGAAAATGTTTTTCTTGTTGAAATGCAAAACACTTTATCCACAAAGGGAACTCTGCTTTACACTTCAGTTTGCTTTTAAAACATTTTTGATGAATGCCCTTACTGTGAATATTCAAAACAATGTCTTCTTGTCTATTTGTCATCTCTATTGTGCTGTCATTACCTGCTCTATGTCCCACCATCTAAGGTTTGCAGATGGCTTTTGCCCAGACAGATGTTTCCCAAAACTCTCAAGAAACATCCAGTGTGGTGACAGAAACATTACTGACATAAGCATAGATTTCATCAGGCATCTGCCATTCTCCCTATCTGCAGATATAATGCATCTTACACAGAATTAATCACAAATCCCATCAAAGCAAGCTTGAAATATTTTGTTGATGTAGCTTTGTAGTTAACACATTGAAATGTTTGTTCAGATCAGAACTGGAATTATTACAGAGGCTGTTCCAATGAATTCCTTGTCTTTCTGGCTTAAAAGGTAGGACAGTGCATTGGCTTCCAAATAGCATGTAGGGCTGTGCTTAGGCTTCAGAGGAAAGCTTAAGATAAACCAGGTAGATTTGGTTGTCCTTTCACTGCTGTATATTTTATTGCTGAAGGTTCAGACTCTAAGCAACATCCTCACTCTTGATCTCTTGATTCTGGGTTGTGTTGCATTGGTCTCTGAACTTCAGCAAGTGCCAGTGCTGCATGCACTGCTACAGTTACCTCAAACTTGGATTCCAGTTATTCTTAGAGCCTTCCTGAAGGCCATGTGCTAAAGAAAAACTTTAAGTTGTTTCAAATATTTTTTGTTTGTGTTTTGTTTGTTCATAAAATAGAAATCCATACCCAGTTTGTAGCTATTGAAAACATGTATATTGCTACTCCAGCCTTAGCATTACGGATTTAATGAGCTCTTAGGTTTTTTCCCAGGAAGAACAAAAACCTCTAGTACTGTAAACTGTCTTAGTGTATGTGTTGTGTTTGATTCACAGAAGAGCTTTTAAAGTGATTCTCAGTATTAACTATAACTACTGCCGTGCATGTTTGGGTTACAGAATGGAGATGGCACCATCGACTTCAGAGAGTATGTAATTGGTTTGTCTATTCTTTGTAACCCAGCCAACACAGAGGAGACTATTCGGATGGCGTTTAAGGTAAGGTCCATTTAGTGTAAATCTACAAACCTGACAAATCAAGACTGACTGTAAGTCTGTTAGCTTTCAAATCATAAGTTTATAGCTTCAATCTGCTATGCAAATGTGAGTAATTCTCTTAAACCAATTGACATTTAGAGTGTGAAAGGGAGGGGAAGAATTGCAGGCATCATAGAGAAGGGTTTCAAAAGCCATCTGAAGGCACTAATGAATACGTAACTTGGCAGGCTAACTCCAAAAATGATTCAGCAGCACTTGTAGGTTTTTTTTTTGCCTGAGGTTTTTTTCTGCTGTGATTCTTCAGTGTCACAATAGATGGAGTAATATCCTCTTGTGGGTCAAGCTTCACTAGAGTCATTGTTCTTAACAAAGAGGACGGAGAAAAAAAATCAGGGGCTGTTCAGAACTGGCACATTGAAAACTGGGCTGCATCTAAGAGCTG